ATGCATTGGACTCTGCTCAATGAGAAACTCACTGCCAGGCTTCAGGGCAATGTGTCTAAATTTTGTCGAGTTTGCGAACCATGGGTCTCTACCTCCCACAAGATTTTGATTGTCGACTATTGGAATGATAGAAACAACCATAACTGTGGCCCATGATTACTGTCTATTCCTCTTCTTGTTTCTTTCTCCACTTCCCTTCCTACTTGGTCTTCCCTACTGTGCTCTCTCCTCTGCTTGTGTCTTCTTCGTCTCCCTGTTTCACTTAACCTCATGTGTTATATGCTGAGTCTTCACTGAACCAAATTATGTCCTTACTGTGTTTCTTTCTAAATGCACTTTGCTATTGCACAGTTGTTAATATATTTTGATGTATACTAATTTGGCATGTGAAACCTTACTTACGTTACCAATTGCCATGTATACTAAACTAATTGCATCTCTCTTATGCTTTTGTCAACCATTCCCTAAAACCCCAATAAAAAAAAATTAACGAACAAAGAAAAAAAGTATATTTAATTAGTAAAAATGAAATATGGGTGGTTATGCCAATAATTTATAAAGACCAATTTAAAGCCTAGCTCTATATATCTCAAAGTGTGCCCTAATACTTAATTAACACAGTGAACCTCCATTAGCATGAAACTGGTATATTTTATTGGGGATGATTTATGGCATGATTACAAAATATGTTACAGAGCAAACAATCCTATATACACACATCTCAATGCCATATATACATTTACTATAAAAAAGTACAATTTCTATAAATAATACTAAGATTGTATTTTCACTTCTTTCAAATAATGTGTATTGAATTATTGTGTTTCACTTAAAAGCCTCTGGAAAATGTCACAGTTTTGTGAGAGTCATATTGCAAACATTCATAAAGAAGAGCGTCAAAAACTTACAGATGGTACACAAAGCAGTATTTCAGGAACTGTAAATAATGGGAGATTGTGACTTTTGTCCTTTTTCTTAATTGAACGTATTAAATGGCATGTTAGACTGGTTATCACTTTCCAGTTCAGCCAATGCAATTTTTTCCCCATTAACCTTTTTTTTTTATTTTTATGCATACCCATCTTGATATAGATTTGGTATCCTTTGAAAACTGCCCATTAAAAAAATAGACATTGACATGTTTCAAAATGTTGGTGGCCTGCATTAATCAACAAGATGATATCTATAGTTGCACAGTTTAAGCCTATGTTTTATGGCTTTGATAGACCAATGGTCTTCCAATATCACCTCCTGAACAAATACCGTCTCTGAACCCAGTTCGGCAGAACCCATGGAAAGTAGTCACATGGACACATCCTCACTAAGCTAAACACAGAGATACTGTTAGACCTCATTTACACTTGCATTCGGCAGTACTGCCCATCATATGAGACAGTGGGAATGATTGGTTTATTCAGTGCAGGAAAGGGTTTGTGCCTTAAACAATAAAATTCTGTAAAAGTTGGTGGAAACTTGAAATACATTAAGTAAATTGCTTTACTTCCACTGAGGGGTGGATTGAGACATTTTGGGCAGGTGGCACGTATTGTACAACCAACTTGCCCTTTCATTGTAGGGACAGATTCCTGTCTGTTAAAGAATTTTTATACACAAAGGAGCGTATTTATACAAAATTTGCAGAGCTATTCATCCTGCAAAACTGCATATACATTAATTCTGTGTGAATGCTGGCAAAATCGATTGTCACTAGGCTAGTTTCTTTCCTGCTCAGATGTTATTTATTCATAAGAATAGCGTGCATCAGGAAAATACTGCATTATGGCTTCTAAATAGAACTGATGATCATAGTAAAAAGTATTTATTTCCTATGATCTTTAGCTCCATTGATTTTGCCAGTGTTTGCACAGAATGGCTGTACATACAGTTTTGCAAGACAAATAGCTCTGCAAATTAAAAAAAAATACATCCCAAAGTGTGCTGCAGTGAATGGAAGATGTAGTAAAAGGTGGGTGTTGTCTTAAAGAACATGGTTTATTGTAACACACCTTTTACATTATTTATTAATAAAGGGGGGTTGTATGGGATGCATTGTAAACGATGAAGTACTTTATGAGCTGAACAAGATAACTGCTACTCTCTGAAAATTATCTGAACTTTCCTAAATAAAATACCATGCCATCACCAAAAATAACCCTCATCATATAGCTTTTTTAAACAAATAAGTACAATACATTTTACAATTTTGCATCCTGCTAGCATTTATTTCCTTTGCAACTCTCTGCAATAGTTGCTGGAAAATTACAGCTATAATCAGGTAGTAGATGGCTATAAAATCCCAGCATCTGTCAATGATTTTTGGCTTTGTTGATTTACCTACAATTGGATTGAGATTTGGGTTCATCATTACCATGGGGTCAAGGCAAATCTAATGAACCAAATGCGATATCTCCTGCGCTCCAGGACCCAGACCGGTGGTGAGTAGATGGAATCAAACTCCAAAAAAGGAAGGAGGGAACCACCGAAATAGTTAAGGTCGTGCAGCTCCACACCAAGGCTGGGGAAGCCCAAACAGAACTGTGAGGAAGAACAAAAAAGAAAAAGAAGCGCACCAACCTTGCGCATTACCTCAGTAAGCAAAATTTATTAAATAAAAGAATGGTACTCACAAACAGCGAATAAAAACAGGCATGTAAGTCCTCAAAGGGACTTTAAAGGCAAGATGCAAATGCGAATCCCATCATGGAGGAAGCCACTCAGTGCAACTGACGCGTTTCGAAGGACAAGCTCTGAGGAAGAAGGCTTGTCCTTCGAAACGCGTCAGATGTACTGAGTGGCTTCCTCCATGATGGGATTCGCATTTGCATCTTGCCTTTAAAGTCCCTTTGAGGACTTACATGCCTGTTTTTATTCGCTGTTTGTGAGTACCATTCTTTTATTTAATAAATTTTGCTTACTGAGGTAATGCGCAAGGTTGGTGCGCTTCTTTTTCTTTTTTGTTCCTCCTCACAGTCAAGGCAAATCTTACAGGTTCAAGATTCCTGATAAATTTATGTGCAGATTTGCTTGTGAGAATTTTTTTTAAACGATGATGCACTGCAAGGTTTTTGAACTATTGCTACAAGACTTAGTAGGGCCAATAAACCTGCTTAAGCCAGCATCCTCACTATAAAATCTTCTGTCCTGTCCATAGCAGGGCTTTCCTTTTAAATAGAAAGTGGGCTTTTATTTCAGGCGTAGCATTCTGGGGTTTTCATTTCTTTTGTGGAATTTTTTTGTATGTGGATAGGACCTTTTTTAAGTTTGGGGTGCCTAAAGTGGAACATTCACTTGTTACTGATCACCTGTTCTTTCAACTGCATTTTGTTCACACTGCGCTGTTGCATCATTTGAAAGAAAAAGTACAAAACAGTGTGCACCCTAACCATGATATATCACTCAAGTTCAATCCCCTATCACAATAGATAAAATAAAAGTTATGTATACACTAGTTAGGCCTATTATCTCTAATTAAAACTGTCCTGCTACTGACCAATGGCACATTGCTTTATCTCTTGAAGTATCCTAATTTTGGAGTAAAGACTCAAATGTGTTTTTCTCAAATAAATTCAGACCTAGCCTTGCTAATCAAATGTGTCTTGCTTCAGGACATGGTTTTTATGATATAAAATTTGATATAAAATTTGTTAACGATATATTCATACGATTATTGCAAAATACTTCAGGACATATGTCACACCCTACACACAATCTAGTTGCAACCTCTGCAGTACACTGGGTGTTTGCTTGTACGTACTTTCATCACACAAGTTTTACTTGGTATTTATAAGTACACCAAAAACCAAACTCCTGAGCCTAAGACTAGGGTAAGAGTAAGGCTAGGCCCACACTATTGCGGTTTTGAGGGCTATGTTCACACTATTGCGGATGGTTGCAGGAGTCACAGCTGTTCCAACACCCGCAACCATCAACAGCCAAAACATACGGGGCTGATATTCATTCTTAATGGCACCTCCACACATCTAAAACAAAGCATGTTTTTGGGTGCGGGAATCGCAGGGAACTTGCATGGTGCAAATACTGCATGCAATTTCCTGGATGCTGCGTTTTCAAAATGCTACAGGAACCTTTTTCCTGAAATGCAGGCACAGCAGCCCATTCAAATTAATGGGAGGCCATGTCCATGCAAACACAGCCTTTAAAGCCTCAACAGTATGAACCTAGCCTTGGATGTGACACTCTAATCATATTTAATTGAATTTTTTTTTTTGTGTGTAATTTAGGAACTATGTTCAGAAAAGCCTGCTTGCTTCATCATATCTGAAACTCGGATTTAGTTCCTTAAGGTTTCATAGATAGCATGGCTAATTATTTCCCGATTATAGAGGATTGAGCAGGATAATAAATTGTTTTCAATTTCACTGTTTGATCAATTTATAAAAGTTTGAAGGGCTAATTTAACATTTTCATCCACTTTTTCAGCACTAGGGTCCGTTATATTTTTTACTGTTCCTGACATATTTTGTTACAATTCAGCTAATTTTTTGAAAGATTAGTTCAACACTCTAACTGCAGTGTGCTAAATAGCTTGTAATACATCCATCTCTTTATTTCTTTGTTTAATGTTGACATTTTTTCCAGGTTGCCACTTTTCCTCTCAACACTCAATCACACTCTTCATTTGCCAGTCTGTAAATTGTAGATTGAACCTGTTCCAGTTTGCAACATTTTTATAAATGATCCGCTATGTTTAAATGCAAATTTAAATATTATATGAGAATGTTTTAAGAATCACCCAGTTTCATCCAACCATGCCGCCATTTGGGCAATATCAGTGTTCAGATTTGCCTAGTTTTTGGGCCAAATCCAGACAGTTCAAAAATGTGTAAATCTATAAATCTATATCAAATGCTAAGATAAAGGAATTCTCTATAACACTGGACTCCGTATAAAGAAAAATATCTCCAGTATTTTAAGGACAATGTATAAAAATCATTTTGTTAAAAAAAGGAATGGTTCTTAACATAAATGTAGCCAGTGATTTAACTAAGCACTGTTAGTAGGACTCCCCGTTTTGCTGAAGAATCAATTTGTTTTGAGTTCTTTTTAGCCCCTTCAATTTGCTCCCGTTCATCATCATCAACTCCAATATGTACTTGGTATCTGTCGTTAGGGCATTCTTCATAATAACTCCTGACATACTTCCCAACAAACCATCCTTTGTACTCTTCTGGGGCCTTGCATTCCAAACCATTATAGTTAACATTGTAGTGATGTCTTAACCAATAGAACAAGTAATGAATGTGGTAATCACATTTCCAGGGGTTGTCTCTAAGCCACAGTTTTTTCAAAAAGTACAGATCTTCCAGGACCCCATACTGGAAGTTAGAAAGGTTATTTTCTGATAGATCCAATTCTTGGAGATTCATGAGGCCAGAAAATGCAGCTGCCAAAATATAAGCACAGAGCAGTATAATTATAAATTGCTATCCATCAAATGTTACATTCTATAAATGAAGCTGTAGACCTGGTTTGAACTTGGCTGTTACTTTGACCATTGATTTAATACTTAACCTTGTCCTGCCTGTCAGCTTTGGCCAGTGAAGTGATCATAAAGGCTGAAGACTGGGAGATGATTTGCAGCAAACCCAACCACACCATTGGGTGCTTTACTGAAGGCTAGGCATTTAAAGAATCTTCACTTTGAAGGAGAACCTACCTGCACCTGATAGTGAGATGGGAGATACACTAAGGCTATGGCTGCACTGATGATAAAATCTATTTACTGCTGAGATATTTAACTACTTGTTGAAAGCTATCTCATTAGCATCACATTAATTTTAGTGTGCTTCACATGAACAAACTGTTGAGAAGTGGTGGAAGTAACAGTGTCTGTGCAAAGTGGCTCCCATGACCCACTGATACTCAGCTTGCCAACACTCCCCCAACGCTCCAGCTACTACTTTAGTTGGCAAAAATGTCCACTACTTCTAGGTATCAGGAAGCATGTGACCTTTTCCCATGTGACTGTGCTCCGGTCTAGGCCTGAACACTGTCACATGACTGAGGGAGCAATGTCACTACTCATCCCACTGTCTGGCAGCAGTGGACACTGGGGATTTGAGTGGTGGCTGCAATGGAGGAAGCATCAGTAGGGGGGCGCTGGAAAGGTTAGAATACCACCTTCCCTAAATGTCATTTGAAATTTCTCAGTTCAAAGAGATTTATATATCAGTGTAGCCTTATTCTAAATCTGTGGCCTGACATATACAGTTTTCTTGTGTATGACCGGATTGCATTACTTTTGAGTTTTGCTTCACCCAACAACAATTATTTAGATTTATTACGGATTTTCTTACCTGGATCTATGGATTCAATCCCATTATTGCTTAAGTTTAATATCTCCAGATTTGGAACATCTACAAACTCTTTTGATTGCAGTCGTTTGATTTTATTGCTGGAAAGATCCAGTTTTATGATGTCTGAAGAAATGTCATCTGGGACTTGCTGTAATTCTAAAAGAATGAAAAGCATCATTGCTTGTGGTTTTATTGTTGTTACTTTGATACAGATGTTACCTTTGTGTGTAATTCAGCTATAAGAAAAAGTCCTTTCTGGGTTATGCAAAAAATTGATGTTCTTGTGTAAGCTGGATCTGTGACTGATAAATGTGGATGTGGATTAGCAATTAATATTACTGGGCTTTAAATTACAATCTTTTTAGCATTTTTTGTGTAGTGAGTATGGACAATTTGGCATGACTGTTCTGTTAATTAAAAAATGCAACCTCCTGGAAATGTTTCAGTTCATGGAGTAAGATGAAGCCAGTGTATTAACATAAACTGCATCTTTGCCCTCTATACCTCTTTGAGCTCTTTTTAAATGTTGAAAATCTTTTCCCCCATATATTCAGTATTAATATACTAGTCTTAGCTCACTCCCTCCCCTCTATTTAAAGAGCACGATAAACATTTTTTTTAATCTTAAAGTTATACTAAAGCTTTGTAGTTTTTTTTTTAAATAACACGTCATACTTACCAGCTCTGTGCAGTAGTTGTGCACACAGCTGCCCTGATCCTCTTTTTTTTTTTTTTTTTTGGTCTCCTTCCCGCAACCCTGGCTCCTCCCCTTTGAGCAGTGCCCCCAGAGCTGTTTTCCCTGGATGCAATGCTTCATGTTCGCTTCCAAGCCACTGCTCTATGTGTCCATAAGACACATAGAGCTGTGGCTCAGCACCCCGCTCTCTCCTCATTGGGTCACTGGCTGTGATTGACAGCAGTGGAAGCCAGTGGGCTCCTGCTGCTGTCTCGGCCAATGAGGAGGGAGAGTCCACATACTCTTGTGCTCTTGTGCACATCGCTGGATTAGAGGGGGCTCAGATAAAAATTGGGGGGTTGCTGCACACAGAAGGTTTTTTACCTTCATGCATAGAAAGTAAGAAACCTTGAGCCTTTGGAACCACTTTATTTTACTTTGATATTTAGCAGATGGAAGAGTTTTAAAGCTTTCAAGGATTTTTCAACATTTATTCAAATTCTCCGCATTTGTTGAAAGATCTTTCCCTTTCCTCGACAGAAAAAAAGAGCAACCTATTCACTGTGTTTAGCATCACCCAAGCTGGACAGATCGATCACAGAGGGTTCTTCAGTATTGGCTATGACTGGTAGTTCTCTCGTCTCCCTGTATTTGTTTATTAACTAAGAGCGACATACAGTTGTGCTCAAAGGTTTGCATACCCTGGTAGAAAGCATTAACTGTTTTGCATTGATATTGAAAATATGGCTGATTATGCCAAAAAAATGTAGTTTATTTAAGGACAGTGATCATGCAAAGCCATTTATTATCACATAGTTGTTTGGCTCCTTTTTAAATCATAATGATAACAGAAATCACCCAAATGGCCCTCATCAAAAGTTTACATACCCTGGAATGTTTGGCCTACACAAGGTGACACACACAGGTTAAACTTGCAATTAAAGGTTAATTTCCCATCTCTGTGGTTTTTTAAATTGCAATTAGTGCCTGTCTATAAATAGTAAGTTTGTTAGCTCTCACATGGATGCACTGAGCAGAGTAGATACTGGGCCAGGGGGAGCATAAAAGAACTGTCAAAAGATCTGTGTAACAAGGCAATGGAACTTTATAAAGATGGAAAAGGATATAAAAAATTATCCAAAGCCTTGAATATGCCAGTCAGTACTGTTCAATCATCTATAGGAAGTGGAAAATACAGGGATCTCTTGATACCAAGCCAAGTTCAGGTAGACTAAGAAAGATTGCAGCCACAACTGCCAGAAGAATTGTTTGGGATACAAAGAAAAACCCACGGGTAACCTCAGGAGAAATGCAGACTGCTCTGGAAAAAGTCAGTGTGGTTGTTTCAAGGAGCACAATACAGCGATACTGAGCTACATGGTAAAGTTGCCAGAAAGAAGCCTTTGCTATGCCAATGCCACAAAAAAAAAACCCGGTTACAATATGGGTGAAGGTTCTGGAGTGGCCATCACAGTCTCCTGACCTTCATTGAGGGGGGAGATGTCAAGCATGCGGTTCATGTATGATGGCCAAAGACTTTGCATGACCTGGATGCATTTTGCCAAGACGAAAGGGCAGCTATACCACCTGTAAGAATTTGAGACCTCAGACAACTATTATGAAAAACCACTTGCTGTCATTGATGCTAAAAAATACACAGTATTAAGAATGAAGAGTATGCAGACTTTTGAACAGGGGTCATTTCATTTGTTTACTTGTTGCCATATTTTATTTTATGGTTGTGCCATTCTGTTATGACCTACAGTTGAATATGAATCTCATAAGAAATAAAAGAAATGTGTTTTGCCTGCTCACTCATGTTTTCTTTAAAAATGGTACATACTGTATACAATTCTCCAAGGGTATGTAAACTTTTGAGCACAACTGTATTCATGATCAAGCCATACATATAAAATAATATTATTTAGGACAAATTGAAAATGAGAACAGAGATGTTAAAGTCACAATTGATGGTTTTAAAAGTAATGCTAGTGGAAGAGGCAGCCTTGTTTTATTAAAGCAGATTTTTTTTTTAAAATACAGAGTTCCATATGTTGTGGTTAATCTGCATTGCCTCCAGCTGTTAAAAGAGTCTTTATGTAGTATCTCCAGCTTCCATCTGTGATCTGAAGGAAGGGGAACATGAAAATCTGATGAGACTTTTGGACAACATGCTGTGTGATCACTATGTGCTCCCCCCCACTGTTCAGCAATAAATAGGATGTTATTCTGTGCAGCTGAAATTAACCTAGGCGATCGGATATTGTAAAAGGGGCAAGTAATTTTCCTTTGCATTTCCAATCTCTTCAAAACTTACTTTTGTTTACTTTGGTTGATGCCTTTATATGGCTGACCTCTGTTTTGAGGTACATCCAAACCAAATGTTTGGAGAATTTTAGCAAAGTATAGCGGCATTCAGAGTGAGCATGGAATATAAGGTAAAATTAGAATGGGGAATTTCAATTGAATAAATAGATATATTTAGAATTACTAAAAGGTAGTGGGCTCAGTTCACTAAGAGATACAGTAAATACCACATGTACTTGTGCTTGAAAATAACTCTATATTATATAGTATTTATGTCAGGAGCAGGAAATTTACTAAAAAGTACACATTACCCGCTTCCATACCAGTTACTTTTACCCCCTTCCTGCCCAGGCCATTATACAGGTTTGTGGATAGTAACATGCTGACTAAAAGGAATCAGATAGTGTAAATAATAATATAAATGAATCCAATAGTGCAAAAATATCCAAAAATACAAAGTAAGTGAATAATGTCCTTCAAAAAATTATTGTCACTCAAGAAAAAATTATAGTCACTCAGTAAAATATTCAAAGGAAAATCTTTGTGTTGAAAACTTCCAAAATGACTCCTGAGGCCAATAGAAAGCTCAAAAGAAAAGAAAATTCACATAGTGCATTATCCTTAACAGCTTGAATATTATACACTGAATTAACAAATGTGATTTTTTCAGGTTTCAGCGCTCTTGCACTTTGAATGGCAATTGCGCGGTCATACAACATTGTACCCAAACTAAAATTTTATCATTTTCTTCACACAACTAGAGCTTTCTTTTGGTGGTATTTAATCACCGCTGGAGTTATTTTTTTGCTAAATTAACAAAAAAAAAAAAGACCAAAAATTTTGAAAAAAAACCACATTTTTTTCTTTGTTCTGGTATAAAAGTTTGCAAATAAATAATTGTTCTTCATAAATTTAGGCCAAAATGTATTATACTACATGTCTTTGGTGAAAATAACCCAAAAGTATTTATTATTTAGTCTGTAGGAAAGTTATAGAGTTCCCAAACTATGGGATGTATCTGAAAATTGATCATCCTGAAGTACTGACGGCCAATCTAATTTCTTGAGGTCCAAGAATGTCAGAACAGTACAAATATCCCCAAAATGACCCTTTTTGCAAAGTAGACAGTCCAACGTATTTCAAACAAAAGTTTTTTGAAGTTGTAATTTTTTTGTCATTTTTCGCAAATGAAGAAATAAAGAAAATTTTTTCACTTTTTTTTTTACATACTGTCACCATTTACAGTGTCATCATATAACTGGCATGGCGGTGATCAGGGACACTGACTGGAGACAGTACAAAAAAAAAAAATGATTTTTAATTACATTTTTTTCACAAAGATTTGTTTTCACATTTTACTATAAGTAGTATAATGTTACCATAGTAACATTGTACTACTTTGGGGAAGTGATCAGTATTTTTTTTTTTTTACACAATTTGCTTATAGCAAAGAATTACTTTGCTATAAGCAAGCATTTACCTGAATGAAATTGTTTCATTCAGGATTTGTTTTTCTTAAATGTGATTTGTCCACAGCTAATCACATGACACAGCTGGGCTGTGATTGGCCCAGCTTGTGCATGTGATCGCTGTGACCATTCACAGCTAGACACACTTGTATACAATGGATGGCATGAAAGAAGCCATCCATTGTATACAACTGTCATGTGACCTGCTGTGATTGGTCACAGCAGGCCACATGGTGCTGGCAAGGGGGCCGGTACACAGATCTGTCATCGGCCGTGTCTGAGGTACACGTCCGGTGACAGATCGTGTTGCTTCACGGCTCTGCGGACAGGCAAACTGCAAATGCCTGAAAGGACGCCATATGGCGTCCACCCGGAGGGACAAGGTGTTTTGCTGGCCGCCATCTGGCTATAGGCGGGGCGAGAACCTGTTAAATACCGTATCCATTACATTTTTATTTTGCGGTATCTAACACATATTGTAACCTTATTTTACTGCAGACCAGATTTCTGGCTGCAGCGGGAAGTGAAACATTTAGCTGTTCTATTTCTTCCACTGCAAAATGTGACAATTTCCTCTCAGATATGCTGGTTGTTAGGGAGCTGGCACCCACCAGCATCCTAACAACCAATGACTTATCCTTCCCCTGGCTATTCAGCTGTCAGTCCAGGATTCCCAGTTGTGAGGTGAATGTAAATAAAGGGCCTGGGACATACGGTTTGGGCCCCCCTCCCTGCAATCTGTAAAAGGCTCTTATTGAAATCTGGAAGCCCCGATATTTTGTATACTGTAGCAGCGGGGACTTGGTGGGTGAGTGGCAGCCGAAATGCATCACAATTGCATCACTGGGTGACGTGATTGACGGTGGATGTACATACTGGGGCATCCATTTTATTTTTTTAATAAAGGTCAAACATTTGGGTGTTTTTTTATTTCTAGGGTACATCTGTTTTTTTGTGAATAAGTAGGTGTACTACGTACCCCTTACTCATTCACATGTGGGGGCAGTATCTGGCTTTCAGATTCTGATAAGCTCCCCACCCGCAGACCTCCACAACCATCGGGCGAGGGTTGTGGAGAAGAGGCCCTTGTCTACATCAACATGGGGACAAGGTGCTATGCCATGGGGGATCCCCACTGGAAAAAGTACCTCCCCCTTGTTGAGAGCATGTGGCCTGGTATAGGGGTTTGGGAAGGGGAAGGAGGGGGGGGCACATGCTTGCCCCCCCTCCTTTTCTGACATGCCAGACTACATGCTCAGATAAGGGTTTGCTGTGGAATTTGGGGGGACCTCACACCATATTTTATATTTTTCCGCATTGGGTCCGCCTTAAATTTATACCAGACTGGAAGGGCATGGTATGGATTGTGGGGGAACCACCATACCGTTTTTTTTTTGTTTTAAACACTGTCCCGAGTCCTTTGTTTACATTCACCTGTTAGCCAGGAATACCTGGCTGACAGCTGAAAGAGCAAGGCAGGAATTAACAAATGGTTGATAGGACACTGAAGTGGCGGATGCTGACTCCCTAACAACCAGAATCCCTGAGCTGAAACTGTCACATAACAGTGGTAGGAGTTCCGCTGCTAAATTTTTCAACTCTTAGTGTGGATTCACACATGCAGTGGGAATTGAAGCTCCGTTTTCACAGCTAGTTCAGCGGTTCAGGTCAGGTTGATCATAATCAGTTCAGGTTTAAATGAGGATCAAAAGAGAAAACCATCCTGAAATCGTGCTCAGAAACTCGTGACATGTGCGATTCAGAAGCGATTTCCATAGAAGTCAGTAAGCCTGTAATCTGCAACTGAACCGGACCGTACTGCTCAGAAATCGGGCAGAACTCTTTTTCAATCAGCACTGAATCCACACTGAATCCGCACCGCCAATACACTGGATGTACAGTATGTGAACAGGCACCATAAGAAGCAATGATATTTCACATGTTATGTGGATTGGATGCGGTTGAAACCGCATCCAATCCGCATATATGTGAACCGGCTCTTATTTATACATTTGTTAAATAGTGAGTGACTAGACCACAAGATAATTAACAAATGTATTTTTTTTTTATAAATTGACCTTAATTTTATAACACATAATTTTATGTTTAATTTACTAAGTGTTCTTGAATTTTTCCATATTTTCTGCATGAACGATTTAATGAATTGAGCTCTTATTTATTGCATGCAATATTGAAAAAAAAAAAATGAGTCACGTGACCTAAATATTGCATGCAATATTGCTTAGTGAATTGACCCCAATATGATTTGTTGTGATGGAGTTCAGAATGAACTCTGAATGGGAAGTAGGTAAAGGGCCAAGGGCATAATCAAAATTCCCATATCAGATAAACCCTCAATGTGCATACAGAGAAGAGAATCAATTGTAGCTAATAAAAGCATTAAAGGCAAAACTTTTTTTTTTTCCGGCAGGTTTTTATTGCTACGTTTGCCCTTGTAGGGAGATTCACCTTCTCTTTTTGTCCTGCCTACCGTTATCATTGAAAGAGAAAGTAAAATAAAATCTTGTAGATTTTGTAGAACAGTGATAGAAGGACAATCTTCCAATGGGGACACTATTTCTAATAACCTCAGGGGTCCCAAAATATTTCCTTCATTTGCATAGATTTCCTCTCACTTCCTGTTTCTTTCCTGTATCTAAAATGAAAAATAAAGTTTTGCCTATAGTTCTACTTTAAAGGACCATTCTAATGTCTCTTGGAAACTCCGCTTGTGAGATCTCCGTCCTTGTTTTACTGGTCCTCGGCATTGGCTGCAGCCATTATAAGGAGAGAAGAACATATCATTTTGTAAAGCGCTGCGCAAACTGTTGGCGCTATATAAATCCTGTATAATAATAATAATCCCTGATTCATTTTTAATCTATTTTACATTATGTATAATGCAACATGGAAAGTGGAAATACACCAAGGTATTTGGAATCTATGTCAAAGAGATCTTGCTACAAAGGGGCTTTAGAAGACAACGGCGGTCAACAGGTGACTTAGCCTTCTAGACTCTTCCCATAACTAAAATACCTGTCTTCGTTTTAACCTCATTTTTATAAATCAGCACACAGTATTAAGACATTATCCTGATCTGTATTTAATATGTCACTGTTGAATACTTGATCATTTATTATTTTAGATAGCTTGTGCCTATAAATGGTCACTGTTTCAGAAAGCATTTATGAAATTTAGAAAAGGTATCCCATTAACTGAGCAACACTAGACCTTTGTCATTTTTGAAGTCATAGGAAGATAAGGGTGTTGCACTAATGTTGTTGCCAAATATCTAGCCAGGGAATATTTACCTATATATGTTTAGTATACAAATATACATAGTCTCTATACCTTGGTTCTGCACACACATTTCACTGTGTGATCTATATATGGCAAGACATACTGGGGGAGATTTACTAAAACTGGTAAAATGAGTGCAAAATCTGGTGCAACTCTTCATAGAAAATAATCATTTTCAAGGTCTAATTGCCAAAGCTTAATCGAACAACCTGAAGTTAGAAGCTGATTGGAAACCATGCACAGCTGCACCAGGTATTGCACGCTCAAGTTTTAGTAAATCTCCCCCACTGTTCACACTGCACCCAATGTATGAATATTTTTTGCTGATATGGTTGTGGAATATTCTTGTCGTAGTCTTGTTAGGTTATCTGTGTATTATTATGTAATACATTCATATAGGGCAGTGTGTATACAGTATATTATAGGTACAAAGTAATACATGAAGTAAAGATGTATACAGACCTTTTTTTCTGCAGTCCAGTGTTGTTATTGGATAAAGATATGTATAACAGAGTGTTGAATCCACAGATGGTCTAGAAGGCTTAGTCCCTTCCAATGGTTTAGGTTTTTCATCTTCTTCTTGGCAAATGACTTGGGGTGTGATCTCCTTTAGCTTCTGATTTTTTAACTCAACTGGTGACTCACACTTGGCATAATTTCCAAAGTTCCTGTTTCGAGGAATTTGTAGCAGAGTCACTAGAGATTCTAGTTCACAGTTACAGTCCCAGGGATTTTCATAAAGTCGCAGATAAGTGAGCCGAGGCATATGTATGAACACTTCTTCAGACAAGGTTTTAATGCGATTGTGTTGTAATAAAAGAGTTGATAGTTTTTTACAACCAAAAAAGGCCTGTTTCTCAATTTTTCTGAGTTCATTTTGCTGCAGATCAAGAGTTTTAAGGTTCCGAAACTTAGAAAAGTCATTGTTCTTTATTATGCGTATCTGGTTTCTGGCCAGCAGTATGTGGATCAGATCTTCTGGCCAGTCCTGAAGGACAGATGTCTGCTTCCTCTCCTGACAGTCCAAATATTTTTCATTAGAATATGTATATATATCACAAGGTGATCCTGGAGCATAGCGTTTCACAGTGCTTGAAAGTTTCTTGGAGCTATGAGGTTTGTCATTGTTTCCTCGGTTGTTTCTTCTTATTTTCCGAAATTCGGATGCTTTGCAAAAAAAGAAGTAACAAGATAAGGGTAACAACTTGCATTCTGACATCCAGCTGGCCCTTATTTTCCTGTACAACAATGAAATATTTCTCTTGAAATACAGTTCCCAGGTGTAGAAGATGGAACTCCTGAGCTGCAAAACAAAACAATGAAATGTACTTAGATTGCAAATAAAATAAACACAAATTACTAGATAAATTTAAATATGTTAATATAGGCCTCATTCAGATGGGCGTGCCAATCCAGACAATCGTGTGAAGGGCCACCCTTATCCCCATGGGATGCAGTGGTGTTGCGGGCAGCTGTATGCAGGCAACCTGTTCAAATCAACGTTAAGCAGGTGGCTGCATGGACCTGAACAGATCTCCGGGCACATCCCGAACTGTGTATCCATGTGGGACTGATGCGCGGATGAGAAGACAGTCTGTGTAGCTGTCCGCCTGTCTTTGATGTGAACAGGCTGCCTGTACGCAGCTGCACAGAACACCTACACATCCCTCGTGAATGAAGACCCTTCACACAGGTGTACATACTGGAACACCCATGTGAATGAGGCCTAATATTAAAGGGACCCTATACGCAACCAATTAAATGTTAATATGTAACATCTGTTGAGATAAGATATGAACCACAAGGAGAGTACATTTCTCTTTTCAAGAATTTAGATGACTGAAAGACTTGCATTGTGAGATGTAGCAGTAAAGAACTACCATTGTGTAGCAGTGCAAAGCAGACAGCAGAACCGGAATATAAGGAAATATTATGTCCTCCAGGAACATAAATAATTGCAAATTGTACAAAGAAACAAGGTTCTTAAAGCATTAAGGACCTATACATACTGATGCACTTCATTCACACATGCATGTTAACCCACATTATGCCACACATTAACATGTATTCCATTAAGGCAGCACTTTTATTTGAATGGGGTCTCTAATGCACCAAAATGCACCAAAATCAGAATTTTTACCAGTGCTCCACAATGCACTTGATGGTGCATTGAGTTGATTTGCTGAATAAATGGCACTGCATTGCACCAATGTGTGTAACGTGTATTATGCATTGTAGTAATGCACGTTATTGCAACTAATGAACGGGCCCTAATACGCGGTGCTAAAGTTTTCTTTTTGCGCTGATTGAAGACTGCACATTTTTGTTAAAGCTATGTTAAAAGATACATTTCTGATTAGCGTCTACCTCTGATTCTCTTTCAACATATGTAGATCATGTGACCACGCTTGGAATGAGGGTTGTAACTCAGGCATTGGGGGCCTGGATGTGGCTAAATCCATTGATGCTGCCAGTGTGGAGGACTGGCCTTCAAATCAGTCCTAATCTTTGATCAGTTCTGATGTTTTGTCCTGGTTTGCTTTAACTTATGCATCTGTTCACTCTAATCACTTCAGTACTTGGCAAATATTGAGCATGAAAAACTCTGAACAAATGATTTGCACATAACATATAAAGTATGTGGAAGTGTTATAAATATGTACAAAAAGTTTGTAACTCCATTGACTACAGAGAAGAAGTTTGCTTGAAATACAAGTGTACTTTCACATTCTGATTTTAATGAGATTAAATAAAGATTTTTCTTTTTTAATGCCTCTGCATTTTGCTTCCAAATAATGTTGGCAGGGATGTGTCTGCACACTTTGCTGTAACTGGTTACAAGCTGAAACACATTTTCCACTATGTACCGCCTTTGTAAATAAAACTGTAAAAAGGGAGATGTTCCCAACGGCATCCTACTGGGTTCTGGCTTTTTCTTGCGTATTGTTTGCAAAATTAAGACAAACAACTGATGCTGTAAAACCGACTTTTATTTTTTGCTTTTCTTTTATGACGGTAAAACGTCTTTGAGGATATTTCAAAATACTTTACACTGCTGACTGCATAAACAGTAAGGATGTTTTCATGCTGATCTGTTTTACTTCCACTTTTGCATTAAGAAAAAAATGAAAAATGTGCAACCATGTATTCCTATAGAACTATTCACACTGATCCATTGCAGGTCCGGTGCGTTTTTTAAAATCCTGCTTGCTGCATTTTTGGTGCAGGCTTTTTGCGGTAAAAAAAACATGCTAAAATGCACCTCCCCATTGAAATCGTGGAAAACGCAGCAAAAATGCATCACAAACACACCTGCGTTGCGTTTTTGGTGTGATACTTGAGTCACATGTCCTTTAAAAACTGCACTGAAAATGCGGTAAAAAACGCATATGCATTTTTGCCGTGGATCAGTGTGGAAGTAGTTTTATCCTTTCTGTGCAGCAAGCACTGGTTTACATGCTTAATACTATCATAATTGAAAAACATTAGTCACCACTTTGAGCCTGGGTTCACACTGATGCGGTGTGGAATTCGCAGCGGTTTCTGTGTGAATTCCGCACTGAATCACAATCGCACCCCGTTCATGCGAACCACTGCGGGTGTGTATGTTAAGTTAACAACACCCCGAAATCGGACCGTAAAAAACGCAGTGCGATGTGCAGAATCGGATCGCATAGGTGTGAATACCCATGCAATCCTATTCTAGTGAGGACCAAAAAAAGGGTCCTGTACCTTTTTTGGTGCGGATGCGGTGCAATTTGAGCCATACAAAATGTATGGCTCAAATTGCACCCCATAGAATTCGCATGTGATTTGCACAGGAATGCAGTGCAGATCCTCTGCGAATCACATGCGATATGCCGCACTGCACAAGTGTGAACCCAGGGTTAGGCAGATCATCGGTATCAGTGTTAGGGCAGCAAGGCACAGTGCTGCTCCCACCAACTCACACCAAGCCTGGTTTAGAATATCAGCTGATTTGTAAAATGGGAACTTAGAATGGATTCGTTAAAGTAGAACTATAGGCAAACTTTTTTTTTCATTTTGGATAGAGTAGGTGAGGGTTATAACCCTGGCTGGTTTATATTTTGCCATCTGTGCCCCATTGGGGAGATTTACCTTCACTCACTGTCCCAAAATCAAAACAGGAAGTTAGAGGAAATCCCTGCAAATCAGGAAAATCCCTTGGGGATCCCCAGACCATCAGAACTAGTGTCCCCATTGGAAGATTATCCCTGTATTATTTTTCTGCGGACAACGCAAAATTCAGAATTTTCGTTTACTTTCAATACTAATGGTAAACAGGATAAAAAGAGGAGAATCTCCCCAATAGGGGCATAAACAGCAATGAAAACTGACTGGTCTAACCCCTCTCCATTCTTTCCAAAACTAAAGGAAAAAGTTTTGCCTTTAGTTATAGTTTAATAGGTCATATCTGCAGAGCTAAAAATATGTTTGAAATAGATATGTGAAGAACTGTTTTACCCACCAATGTATCAGCAATTTTGTTAAAGTAGTCTTATAATGCAGGGCCCCCTTATGCTCCACTGAGACAAGAGCCAGTAACATATAATTATTATTAATTATTATTATTTCTATAGCGCTTTTCTCTTGGGAATTCAAAGTGTAGAGGCTGAGCCTATTAATTAAACAATGAAAAAGCAGCAGCACAGTGATGAGTCAGATGAGCCTAACTAGCTTCTAACACTGATCTTCCTTTTTCTAGTGATAGGCTTCTTTCACATTGGCAATATGCTTACTTTGGTATAGTAGCAGTTAGCAGTCATTCAGGAGGCAGTTCTGGTGTTTTTATTTTTCAATCCCAAGGGGAATTTTGTAGTAAAAAAAAAAAAATTGCACCACAACCGTAATTCGAACATTTGGTTCATGGTTGCAGTGCATTCCTATATAACTCAATGGACAAGTTTGACGGGTGTTACCACCTGTCAAGCTCTGCAGTTTGAGTTAGAAATGCATATGTAGAGGCATATGTACAACACTGTCAGGCTGTAATGTTGGCATTAGGGTGAGCAGCTGGGTGGCAGTAAAACTATGTCCTAGCTGCCTGATTTAACTGCCCCCTGGCCCCCAATGTGAAAGAACCCTAAAAAATATTAGCACTCTTTGGATATTTTTTTTTTTTACCCAGTTACAGTTTTCTGTGTTACTCTTTCTTTTTGGCTTGCAAATCTTACAACAATGTCTTATCCATCTTCCTCTTCTTAGGATATACCCGTATATCCTTGGGAACAACTAATTATACCAGAATCTTGCTGCAGCTCCTGGTATCAAAATCTGCAGCCGGCTTTCATATAAAAATTGCAACAACCGCCATTTTATTCTCCAAGGCCTCTGCATTCAGAAAATATACTGCTTAAAAAAAAATTAAAGGAACTCTTTTTAATCAGAGTATAGCATCAATTCAATTAAACTCCTGGGATATTGATCTGGTCAGTTAAGTAGCAGAGGGCGTTGTCAATCTGTTTCAGCTGCTTTGGTGTTATTGAAATTAACAACGGGTGCACTATATGGGCAATAATGAGATGACCCCCAAAACAGGAATGGTTTTACAGGTGGAGGCCACTGACATTTTTTTCCCTACTGATCTTTTCTGACTGTTTTTCACTAGTTTTGCATTTGGCTAGGGTCAGTGTTACTACTGGTAGCATGAGGCGATATGTGGACTTTACAGAGATTGCACAGGCAGTCCAGGTTGGCACATCAATATGTGCCATTGCCAGAAGTTTTTCTTTGTCTCCCAGCAGAGTCTCAAGAGCATGGAGGAGATTCCAGGAGACAGACAGTTACTCTAGGAGAGCTGGACAGGGCCATTGAAGGTCCTTAACCCATCAGCAGGACCGGTATCTGCTCCTTTGTGCAAGGGAGGAACAGTATGAGCACTTCCAGAGCCCTACAAAATGACCTCCAGCAGGCCACTGGTTTTGAATGTTTCTGACCAAGCTATCAGAAACAGACTTCATGAGGGTGGCCTGAGGGCCCAACGTCTTCTAGTGGGCCCTGTGCTCACTACCTGGCACCATAGTGCTCGATTGGCATTTGCCATTGAACACCAGAATTGGCAGGTCTGCCACTGGCGCCCTTTGCTTTTCATAGATGAGAGCAGGTGCACCCTGAGCACGTGACAGATGTGAAAGGGTCTGGGGCAGCCATGGAGAACATTATGCTGCCTGTAACATTGTTCAGCATGAGCGTTTTGGT